GGCGCGTACGCCGTCATGGCGGCGGCGGCGGCCGTCGAGTCCACCACGGGCAAGCCCGTCATCCACCTGGAGATCGGCCAGCCGGCCTTCCCGACCCCGACCCCGGTCGCGGACGCCGCCATCGCCGCCATCGCCGCCGGCAAGACCAAGTACTCGTCGCCGCGCGGCGTCGCCCCCCTGCGCGCCGCCATCGCCTCTTTGGCCAACCGCCACCGCGGCCTCGCCGTCACCCCGCAGCACGTCGTCGTGGGCTCCGGCGCCAAGCCGGGCCTGTTCCTCGCCACGCTCGCCCTCGTCCGCGGCCCGCACGACCACGTCCTCATCCCGGACCCGGGCTTCCCGACCTACCGCGCCATGGTCGTCGTCACAAACGGCACCGCCGTCCTCGTCCCGCTCCGCCCGGACATGCGCAGCTTCGACATGCCCGCGCTCGAGGCCGCCGTCACCCACCGCACGCGCCTCGTCGTGCTCAACTCCCCGGGCAACCCCACCGGCGGCGTCGTCCCGCTGTAAGACCTGCGCCGCATCGCCCAGCTCGCCGTCGAGCACGACTTCTGGGTCGTGTCGGACGAGATCTACAGCCAGCTGTGCTACGACGACAAGTACACGTCCATCGTCAGCTTGCCCGGCATGGCGGTCCGCACGGTCGTCGTGGACGGCTTTTCAAAGAGCTACTGCATGACCGGGTGGCGCCTGGGCTGGGCCATCATGCCGCCGCCGTTGGCGGAGCGCGTCGAGCTGCTGCTCGTGCATTCCGTCGGGTGCACGGCGACGTTTACCCAGGAGGCCGGCATTGCCGCGCTGGCCGGCGGCGGAGAGGTAGAAATGCTGCGGCGCGAGTATGGGAAGAGGAGGGACATCGTGGTGGAGGGGCTGAATGCCATTCTTGATGTGCGGTGCGACAGGCCGCAGGGCGCGTTTTGCGCGTTTGCGGACGTGCGCAGCTTTGGCAGGAGCAGCAAGGAGATTGCGGACGTGCTGCTGCAGGACGGGTTGGTGGCCGTGTTGCCCGGGACGGACTTCGGAGAGCAGGGGGAAGGGTTCATCCGGCTAAGCTATGTGAGCGAGGAGGAGGAGTAGAGAGAAGGGTTGCGCCGCATCGCCGCTACGCTCGGCAAGCTGCGCCCGGTGAAGGCGGTGGCGTAGATGTAGAGAGGAGGAGGAGGGATCAAGGGCGGGAAAATATTGCCCACTTTTCGGCGAAACTTCCGCTCGCTGCCCCTATTTTTGGGTCGTCTTCGCGTCCCCCAGAAAACATTTCGGCGCCCCGAAAAAAAGTACGAAAACTTTCCCAAATCAATAACTGATCCATCGTGCCGGCGACCGTGCGGTGGCGGTGGCGTAATCATCCCCTTCACCATCCCTCCCCGCCCGCTGTCCCTTTCCATTTCCACGACGGTCCCTCCCACCCCTCCCCGTCCCTCCCCTCCCCCCATCGCAATGGCCACCAACCTCTGCCTCACCGCCATCTCCCACACGGCCACGCACTTTGCTGTCGCCCGCCCCGACTCGGCCCTAGACCTCTTCACGCTGCCCACCTTCACGCGTAGCAGCCACCCGCCGCCGGCCACACTCACCCCGACTGCCCTCGCCCTCACCTCACGCACGGCGCGCCTCAGTCCTCGCACGAGCGCAGCACTCGCGCGCGAAGCAAAAAAGAAAAGAAAAAGGAATAAGATGTAGTAGATGTTGGACATTCTTTTACTTTTTCGGGGATGGTGACGACAGGAAAAGGGAGGTGTGGAAAGGAAGAACAAAAGGAACACAGGCTCTCTTCAAGAATCACGCGGGCAGGCTAGACGCCCGGAATAAGACTTTTAGCAAGCAAAATGCCAGCAAAACGGCAAAGAAAAAACCAAAGAGCCTGCAAAGGAAAAAGGGAATAAACTGGCGGCAAGCCTCTAAAACTTGAGTGTCTTGGGCTTCTCCCAGGTCAAGTCGGGTTCATCCCGTCCAAAGTGTCCGTAGGCGGCGGTCTTCGAGTAGGTGGGGCGGAGCAGGTTGAGCTCGCGGATGATGTGCCCCGGGCGGAGATCAAAGTTGGCCTTGACGATGTCAATGATCTCGGCGTCGGATTTGGAGCCCGTGCCGTAGGTATCAATAAAGAGGGAGAACGGCTCGGCGATACTGATGCTGTACGAGACTTGGACAAGGCAGCGGTCGGCGAAGCCTGCGGCAACGACCGACTTGGCGATCCAGCGGCCTGCGTAGGCGGCGGAGCGGTCGACCTTGGTGGGGTGCTTTCCGAAGAAGGCGCCGCCGCCGTGGGCGCCCCAGCCGCCGTACGTTTCGATGCTGATCTTGCGTCCGGTGAGGCCGGCATCGCCATCCGAGCCGCCGATGACGAAGCGGCCCGACGGGTTGAGGTGGTCACCATCTACCAAGATGGTGCGGTCGTCCAGATACTTGTCCGGGATGACCTTCTTGATGACCTTCCCCATGAGGTCTGTGGCGATCCATTGGCCTACAAGTGGGAAGGTTCGGAACTCTGTGCAGGAGTACACCGTTTGGTCCCAGTATTCCAGACAACGACAAGCAAGCACGAGGTCGAGGGTGGTGATTCTGGAGTCGGAATACTTGTCCTCCAGCTGTTGACAGACAAAAATGCAAAGTCATTCCCTGACATCAGGAATGAAATTGCTTTTTTTGGGGAAGTGCTGCATACATAATTGGCACCGCCAGTATGACCTGGCCGACAGGGCCACGTCATACTGGCGGTGCCAATTATGTAATATCGTGCATTTGACCAATCATACTCTATGTACAGCTAAAAACAATATGGATCACAGCAATGAACACTTTTCGCTTCAGGCTGGAGGAACAAAAGTAACCTAAAAGCAAAAGAGCCAACTTCACCTTCAATCACCGCAGTTAGCATCTACTCCCTGCGAGAGAGCCATGTCTGCAATCGCCACCGTGCCAAAAGCCGCCACTCCTCCCACCTGAGCTCCCCGCAACCCGCCCTGCCGTAACTCTCCCGCTCTCCCTCGCGCATGTCTCTCTCCACCAGGGCGCCGCCCAGCAGCGAGGTGCACACATGTGACACCTCTGCCCAAATATACACACGTATCTTCAAGGCCCCCCAATTGATCCAACCAAGACCCTTCACACCTTCCCCGCTGTGCCGCATCCCGCGTATCCCTTCGTTTGAAGATATCCCTCTTTCCCCTACCCCTCCCTGCCGCCCTTGGCTCCCTACTCCCCAAGAATGTCTGATCCGACGTGCCTCATCACGATCAATCTAGCGGCGCGCGAGCGACGGAGCCCTTTCCGATATGGCCAAGCCGGGCGCCATGTGCATCTGCTTCGTACAGGTCATGCCGTGCGACGTCGACGTCGTCGAAGGTATGAGATCCCATGGGCACGGTCACCGCCCCCATCAGTTTAGCGAGTGAAATTGAGCTCCCTCCAGGAATCATCACACTACGCCATGATAGTGAGAATGAAGATCAATGATTAGCATGTGAGTGCGTCCGCAAGTTTACTAGAATCCCACCTAACATGAATCGCGCTCTGCATATCAAAACCGAGTATTTCGAGTGGATCTCCTTCTCTTTGGAAGAAGCTCGTGGTCGCTCTCTTCTTCATCACTGGTCCTTTCACTATCCCTTTCTCCCCTGTTATCGTCATCAGAATTCAACCACGGTACCTCTTGACGCTGACGCACGATCGGGCGGGTAGTGCTATGCCTCGAAGTGCCTGTACGTAATTTTAACCTCCCTTTTGTCTTTTTCATGACTGATCCGTGTTTATCAGCTTTGTATCTACTGACTGTCTCTCTTTTTGCTCTCTTTGCACTTGATCGGCCTGGTTGTCTGCAATTTCCATCCCGGGCAAGACGAATGTGTTCCGGAATCTCGACGTCATCAATTTGTTCACATTCATTGCATATTACGTCCACAGGGTGCACAGCGCAACATTCATCAATAATATCGCTTGCGGTTTGATCATCCGAATCAACTTCTACGCAAGTGGAGGGATCAAAAGTAGACGCATGAAAATTATCTGACCATATGTTTTCCTTTCGGGTTTCCTCCTTGATGCTGATCAGTTTTCCTCGGATGATCTCTCTCACTGCCCAGCCTCCGTATGCAAGTCCCAGTACTGGATACGTCTTGACCAGTCTTCTGGATATGTCGTTATATTCCTTAAGGAATTTGCTCAAGTCATTGCTATGAATGCTCTGGATTTCTTGCAAGGTATGTAAACCAACATGCTGTGCAAACACAGATGAGGCACCGAGGAGGATCTCGGTTGTCTTCATTGATATACGTGTGAAGGATTGAGCTGAACGATCTATCTGCTTAATGATCGTATTTCCACGTTCCTGAGCATCCGAATTGTGTTTGTCAATAGCATTACGCAGTACACTTCCGACAGAAATGAAAGACGATTTTTCGGGAGCTCTATTGTTTCGAGGGTCTTCAACTGTCCCGCTGTACTGATCATATCCGGACCTGGTATCACCATTTGACGACGATCTGTGAAGTTGTACATCGTGTTGCCCTTTAACAGATTCAAAAATGCGTTGCCAAATTGACGCTACATCCCTTCTGATCTCTTTAATATCCCTTTTTATAGATCTCAACCCGTCAAGCTTGTCATTGATGCGCTCCAGATCTCGACTTAAGGACTCCATGCCTTTTTGAAAGCAGGTGGTACAGAAGCAAGAGGGGTTCCCAGGACATTGCATCGATAATTTGGTGCGTATATGTAATGCTTATGATTTCGTTTCGTTTTGATGCGATTTCGTTTGGTTTGAGCGGTAACCATTACGATTTATTCTCTGTAACTTCACTGATCAAGATCTATTGCGACGGGATGCAAAACTTTGGACTGCAGTGCATGCTAATTCAATGAACTCAGGCTGCGCTGAATATATCCAACCCATTTGCTTCGTGAATAATTCTCAGTACCAATGTCAGTTCGACAGCAGAAGCGGCGTTTCGTTTGTCCGCAGGTATACCGTTGTGATTGCCGGGGTGTCCCCCGAGCACAGAGCACCACATGTGCTCATAAACGTGCGGCAGAGAAGTTTATGAGAGAGGAAACCAGCGACCCGCTATTATCTCGCCATTACCGACAGAATTCAGGGCAGACCAAAAGGACACCATCACTCCGCGTACCCACATCGACACCGGAGATTCTTCTTCGCCACCCCAAAGCTACATATCTGACCTTGGCGCACGAACATTGGCGGAGTGGAATCCAGGTCTGAGAGAAGTTTCTATCTCTCCAAGTCAGGCACGTGCAGGGAAACGAAGTCGCAAGGATCAACATCAAATGGCACATTCCGATGGGATAGATGTTTGTGAGGAGTCAGCAAACAAGACTTCCAGTTCGGCTAAAGTTATTGAAGGTTCAGTCTCTACTCGCGAAGGGCAGGGGTACTACACTCATGCCTCTAACGCGTCATGTCACTCTTTTAGTGACGGCCATCCTGCTTCAATTGTCTTTCACTCACAGTATTCTGAAAGTGGCACAGCTACCCCCGGCGAAACGTCATTAGCGATCTCCGGTGCCGATTTTTGTCATCACGACGCATATGTGTCGTCAATCCTTCCGGAGCTGCAAAAGTTGGAGCTGTTTCTATCAGTGAACAATGACCTGATTCAGATTTGGCTCAAGCACAGACTATCAGATGCCGCCATGGATGACCTCCTGCAGATGCTCTCTCAGCCACATCCGGCAAGTTCAACTTACAAGCATTGGAAAAGCGTGAAGAAAGCCCTCCATCGAATGGAGGACCTGGCAGTCTCAACACATTACATGTGCTCTAATGGTCACAAGTACCTCAGTATTGATGAAACCGGTACACCTGAAAAATGTGACGCCAAAAATTGCAGCCTTGCTACTAGAACGTTCCAATATGTTGGTGTGTGGGAGCGACTCAATGCCCGATTGCAAAGTCCTCATTTCGGACCTCAAATGTTTGAATATTACCGAGACGAAGTCTCTCGTCTTTTCCAAGGTGACAAGGAGTACCGTGATGTATTTTTTGGTCGTCTATTCCGCGAAACCATGATGATTCTGGGTGGTGCAGATGCAATTCAGCATGACATCTTTCTGATTCTTTGTGGGGACGGGGCACAGCCATATCGGTCATCAACATACGGCTTCTGGCGCTTCATTCTCCTCATAGCCAATCTCCCACCATCTCATCGAGTCTCGGTTGAGAACATTCTTCCTCTCCTTTGCATCCCTGGGTCCCACCAGCCTTCGGATTTGATATCATTCCTGAGCCCATTCCTGGACGAGATGGAATCCCGTGCAAGCGGAAAACGTTGCAAGATTTGGGATGGGACTGAGGTTATGGTTCGTTGCCATGCTCTCCTAGTCGAAGGATGTCTCCCTGCTCTCAGTAAGATGTGCTCCCTAAAAGGGCACAACAGCTACGTGCCATGTCGATACTGCGTCATCAGGGGGTTCCTTCAGACTAGTTCTACAGATGTTTCGAGTCAACATGTGTATTACCCGAGCTTCATAATGCATGGCACGCGAAAAACAGTCCTGTACGACATCAATGAGCTTCCAATGCGTGATTTGGAGAATACCAAGAATGCAATTGAAAACATTGAACGATTGCGGACTTCCCGTATCAGAGGGTCTGTTGGGGAGAGAAAGAGGTTATGAAGAGAGCACGGAATCAACGGATGTTCGGAATTGTTTCGCCGGCTGGATCACCTACAAATGTATAGTAGTTGCCCGGTTGATGTCATGCATTTAATCTTTTTGAACGTCCCGAGTCAGCTCATGGACCTTATACTGTCGTCAGGATTGATTACATCACCTGAACTGAAAAGAATTGAGAGATTTATTTGTTCCTTCGGAAGTGGAGTTCCGTCCGAGGTGCGTCGTCCACGACCATTGAAGCTAAGGAGAATGTACAAAGCGGCGAAGTGGAGATTTTTTGTCAACAATATTTTGCTCGTAGCGTTTGATGACGTGCTACCTACTGTTGTCCTAAACGGGTTGCAATTGTTTGTGGAATTAGTGGACCTATGCTTTGCGCCCGTTCTTTTATCTACCGATGTTGAGCGTTTGGGAGATCTGGCACAGCGCTTCATTCGGTTTTTTGAGGACTACTTTTACGGCGGACTAGAGGACCGTCTTCATGTGTGCAAATACACTATCCACTTACTACTCCATCTGCAAAACTCAGTACTGGATGCAGGACCTCTTGTTAATGTTTCACTGTGACAGTACCTCTTGGTATTGTTAATGTTTCACAATTTCCGATAGAAAGATTCATCGGGGAAACGGTTCATGGCCTCACAGCCAAACATTTAGCTGCGGAGTCCGTTTTGGAGACATGGAAGTTCCTTGAATCGTACAAGTTGCATCGCATCAAGAAATATGTACCAAGCCCCGAAAGAAGCCCCAAAAAAAGTGGCATCCTGAATCGTGAAAGGCATTTACCTTCAAGCGCCCTGATGGCAAG